CTGACAGGAACAAGACACCTGGAAATGAGAGTGTGCTGATAAGTTTAAGAGCAGAGCCTGTGGAGGAAGCTCTGCTCGCTGAAGACCAGGCTCAGCTGTCCCCACAGTGCTAGGCAGTGCTGGTCTGATTCACACCTATATGCACAGAAAGCCCCATTCATGTTTAGACTTCTCTGAATGAGGCTTAGTTACCTGCAGTCAAATGCAGTCTTCCTTGATACAGCATCAAGATCTTTTAAATGAAGTTTCTTTTTTTAAAAAAAAAAAATTCTAAGGGCCAGCCAAATAGCTCAGCAGATTCAAGCACCTGCAAGCAGGCACAGGGACAGGGGTTGGATCCCCGAGCCTGCTGTGCTGGCTCCAGCCCCTGTATGGGCTGAGATGGCAATTGAGACTGGGCTTGGTGGTGCATGCCTGTAATCCCAGCTCTTGGGAGGCTGTAAACAGGCGGATCATTACGGGTCCAGTCTTGTAGTGAGACCCTGAACACCCTGTAGACCCTTCCCTAAAATACAAAAAAGAAAAAAAAAAAAAAAAAAAAAAAAGGAAAAGGAAGTGTCTTACAAAATCCAAATACAGGAAACAAAAACATCTTGGGCACATCAGAAATCAAGACAGGAGTGTTTCTAAAGTTATTCCCTCCAAAGTTTCCAAAAGGAATCTAAAACCAGAGAGGGGCAGGAAGTGCACTTCTTCATGCATAGTTCTCAGATCTTCCCAACGAGCTGGCTGTTCTCTACTTAAATTACTTTAATTGCTTATTTAGGTAAAGTGTGTTTTCTGAACTACAGACTTGCTTTAGGAATAAAGGTGCATACAACACTGCACGCTCATCCTGGCAGCAGCGATCCTGTTCTTAGGCTCAGAGCGATGAGAAAGCACCAGAACAGCACTTTCTTTCAGGTTCACGTCAAGTGACATCATGGCTCACAAGTGAGAGTGAATTAGAGAGAGAGAGAGAGAAAGAGAGCGAGACAGTCAGAGAGAGAGAGAGAGAGAGAGAGAGAGAGAGAGAGAAAGAAAGAGAGGTAGACAGGCAGACAGGTAGACAGAGAGACAAAGAGACAGAGAGAGAGAGAGAGACAGACAGACACACACACACACACACACACACACACACACACACACCCCTTTCTAGGACATGTAAGTATGAAAGTGCTAAAAGTTAAAATAATCTCCAGGTAATTGTTGCTCCTTGTTTATGTTGTGAGCTTTTTTATTTTCTAGGAAAGCATTGTTTACCTCAGGCTATTTTTAATAATCTGATTATTGTATATTTTCTCTGTATTTAATTCAGAAATTATCTGGTTGTAGTTGATAAAGGCCACTATCTGTGAGACGGGACACATAGACACATAACACAATTCATAAGTGAGTAATTTTTAACCTTCTTATGAAGACATGGTAAGCTGTTAGAGGGAGAGACATGTTAATTCGCTCAAATGAATCCTTCTGTAGCATGTACACAAATTTAAAGTGTGTTTTATCCCTAAATACACACAATTACTTGTCAATTATATATATTTTTAATTCCCCCAATAGATGATTGAATAAAGAGGTAATAACCAAGTTTTCCCCATTTTTACATATTTTAAAAATAATTAAATCAACAATGAGATGTAGATCTTTTTTCACCTATTAAAATGTGTGTGATATTCAAAATCAAGAAACACTGGATTAGGGGGCAGCCCAAATCCCTTCCAGCCACTCAAATCTATGATTCCACAAACTTTCCTGTCTTGTAAAACCAGGGTCACTTTCATTGATGTGATTAATTTTGTCAGCTTGGCGGTGCTGAGGAATTCCCAGAGAGCTGGAAAACATTAGCTCAAGGTACGTCTGTGAGGGCATCTCCGTACCACACCAGACTATGGATTGGTAGACTGCGACCATGGCCCTCCCCAGGGAAGGTGGCACCTTGTACACCGTGGAGGGTTCAGGCAGAATCAACAGGCAGAACAAGGGCAAGTTCTCTTTTGGCCTGAGCCCATGCACAGCCTTCAGGCTCCAGCGTTTCCTCAGTGCAGTCCCTGTCAGCTTCCCCCCTCCTGTTTCTCCCAGTCTTGCTCCCGCACTACTATAGGACCTCTGCCATCTTGCTCCTGGTGGCCAGGCCTCCAGACTTGAGCTCACTCCTACTACCCAACTTCCTGGGTCTCCAAATTGCAGATAATTGTCACAGAATTTCTTGGCCTCCATAACTGTGTGAGCCAATAACCATCATAAATTTCTCTTACATGTAACCGATTGGTTTTACCATTGCAGAACCTGCCTGCCACCAAAATGCAGTAATTGCCCTTGGAGATTTTCATTTTAAAATGAGGAAAAAAAGCAATGTATCAGAATAAAGCAAAATAGTACCACCTTCTCTTCCAAGTTTGTCTCAGGAAAATGAGCACAGGCAGTGTTTTGGACAGCAAACTTTGCTGACTGTGGCCACTCACCCCTTCCCATCTGGTCCTGTCACTCAATGCCTCTGGCAAGACTGTCTCCCCAAGAAACAAATCCTGGTTAAAAATAAGGCCTTAGGAAGCTGCTCCCTCCCTGCTTGGGAAACCTGAGCAGTGGGGCAGGGCTGTTCCTACAAAATGTGCTTTCTGATTACTTCCAGAAGTTGCAGCACAGTCACTAACCACGCTAGCTAAGCACGGGGTCTCCCACTGTGAAGCGAGAAAGAGGATCTTTTACAATGGGGGCCTGGTTTACCTGCACTCTTTGAGCCCAGTAGGTCAATGCCCTAGATTTTGTTGTTTCCAGAAAGCATGCTGGGGAGCAAGGGATACAGCTCAAAGCCACAGTGCGTGCCTGGCAGGCGTGAGGTCCTGAGTCTGACTCTGGCATGTGCTCCCCTCCTGCGCAAACACCTCTGCCCTCTGCCTGCCCTGCCCAGTCTGTGGTGTGGCGAGCCTACTTTCCTGACTGCCTCTGCCTCTGCCCTGGACGACTTCTTCCCTATCCTCTTCACCACTTGCATTTTTTCTCCCCTGTCAAAAGTTATGGGAGTTTAGTTTTCCCTCCTTTATTTCTAACAGAGAGAAACACAGTTTCTTCAAAGTTCTTGACACCCTTCTCCATAATCCTGCAACCTGGATTGAGCTTCTTTTTCATGCTTCTTTCTGCTGAATGCTTGACAGGCACTAAATTTAGAGGGCTATGACATTTGAGCTCCCTGAAGTCTCCTTTTTCATTGGCAGTGGGCTTGGCCATGGTTCATGTCAGCTCCTAATCTGCACTGGCATTAGAAAAACAAAGTCAGAGTTCACTCTGGTTTCTAAATGCACTGCCTTTTTGTAGGGCATCCTGCCATTCTATGTCTCTGCACCCAGCCCAGCTTCCCATACAGATGAACTTAATGAACTTACTAAAGCAAACTTTCACAAGCTATAGTTAGAACAAAATACCCCATCCCCACTCATATGCCCTTTCCCTCCTCCAAGTACAAATGTGTGCAGCGGAATAATTGCTTGCTAACAATCCTGATCTTCCAACAGTGGGAACTCGTGGCTACCCACCCTACTTCTACACTGACAGAGAAGGTAACTCAGCCATGCCCTGCATCGGCCCCTTAAACCCACCCTGTCACTATGAACCACATGTCTAGAGGTCTCAGAGCGCTGATGAAAACTCACACCTGTTTTCAGAGAAATTTACCCCAACAGAATGGTCACTAAGGATATGGAAGTCTAGTACAGTTACACCTGAGCTGAACCAGGCCCTTAGCCTATTCTACTACCTGTGTACATTTTAAATACTAAATGCACAAATATATGTATTTCTTTTCATGTTCAAAAAAGCTGTTACAAAATAACTGTTATGCTCAAGGAAAAACTACATTAAAGAGGAAAACAGATTCTAGCCTATGCCAAACATTATTTAAAATTTGTTTTTTTAAGAAAGCACTATTTTCATAAAACCAATTGATCAAAAAGTGACACACCTGTATGTCTCCATCTTTTAGTAATGACTAATTATTGCTCTCTGTATGGTCTTAGAACAATGACAAATTATTTTTGAGAGGAAAACTGTAATTTCCGCAGAAAAAGCTGGAAACGATTATAGAAACAGAATTGTAATCCAGCACATTTCTAGGCAAATACACCACTGACATTCAAGCCTCAATAAGGACAGTCAAAATCCCATATAGATATAAGGTTCCAGGAACTCGTAAGTGTATATCTGCTCCAACAGGGTAAAAGCAGGATTCAAAATATAAACTTCTAATTCTGATTCTCTCCAAAAAGCAAGAGCCATTTCCTGCTCCAACCCTTTAAAAACTCCTCTGAAGCAAAGGAACACAGAATCCCTCGTAGAATTAGGTTTACTGCCAATGAACTTTCCCTCCGTGCAGAAAGGAAAAGTCACAGATGGTCAGGGCGGGGTGACAGCGCAGGGTGGCCACACACTTTTCCTTTTCGCCACAGGGTTAGCACTAACTCCTAACTTTCAAAAGTGCCTCTGCTTTGCTGAAAACCAGATTTTGAAGCAGCCTAAGGAAAGCAAAAATTAGAAACCACACTGAATGCTTAAACAATTCACTTCTAACTTGTTAATTCACAGAGAGAGAGAGAGAGAGAGAGAGAGAGAGAGAGAGAGAGAGAGAGAGAGAGATATGTATGTATATAACTACTTAAAAAGGCTTAGAAAGTACAGAGAGGCCCTGAAATGCAAGAACTGAAAGGCGTCCTACCTCCTCGCTTTCCCAAAGCAAACGGCCTGCTGGCGATGGCAG